CACACACACACACACACACACACACACACACACACACACACACACACACACACACACACACACACACACACACCACACACACACACACACACACACACGCATTAAAAAAATTAATTGATCGGTAATTAATGCGAGAAACATTGACTTTAAATAGACAAATAGCTTTCAATTCTTAATGGAGAGCGATGGCGGAATGGATACGGTCGATGCCCCTCGCGAGAAGGACCGGCGATCGAGTCCCTTCCAAGCCAAGTGGAAAAGCCTCCACGTAAGTGCCGTTGATTTCTTTTATGGGATTTTCGCTTGTTTTTTTTCCACAATTACACGTAAATGAATATATGCTTGTGTTTATATCGGATTTTTATTAATCTGTCTGTCATACAAATTAATCTGCGAATCATATCTCATATTTCTACCTTATTTGTAAGTTTCCAACCTTTTAACACTTTTTCCTGCTTTGGGAATAACCAATAGAAATTACATATGGCCTCAGATATATACATATAGATATACATACGAATCTAAAGGTACATTGATATTCTTATACCCTATTGGAATGGCAGTAGGGGTGAAAACTTTATGAAATTGTCTATTAGAAAATACCTATTACTAGCGAGCCTCAATTCTAGACTATGTAATTTCCTTCCGTATATTTCGATATTTCGATAGGTGTGTTACTTCTGTTCGTTTTGTCGTATTTAGTTCATCAAATTGTTTCATTTTATTTGTTCAATTTATCATTTTCATTACCATTTTCAATTTTGTTAATGTGAACGAATCATAGTCCTAGGAATTTAAATACAAAAAACAAAGTAGAAAAAAACAATTTAAAACATTATCCGAACACACAAAATCGGGTAATATACGAGTTATAAAATGCTGATACACAGACAGGACATAGCGCTGTGGATATGACAATGCAAGAATCAAGACCGGCCATTCTTAGATTACAAAACGCCATAACAAGGACTTTGGTGTTTACCGTTCCCTTTCTTAGCTGTTAGTATAACGTGAAGTCATGTGTTTTCTGTTGTATCTGTTGTGATGTTTATCTTTTAACTGTTTAATGAGAATGTTATCTATATATTCCATTATTGCCATATTAATGCCATACTAGTTAATTTAATACATTTATGTATTGTGTTGTGAAATCTAGTTAGTTAAACGTGTGTAATAATGCAAAACTTTGAGAGGAAGTGATCAACTGAATATGATAATGATGACCTATAATCAGGATAATGATGACCTATTATTCAGTGTGGAGTCACCCACTGATGATCATCTTATTACTAAGGATCTTCAACTTGAGGATATTAGCCATTAGGCATTGCTATAACTGATAAATAAATGAATGAATAAAATCGGTTTAATAGTGATTTTGTCGGTTATATATATATATATATATATATATATATATATATATATATATATATATATCTGTGTGTGCGCGCGCGTGTGTGTGTGTACGTTTGTGTGTGTGCGTGTGTACAAGTTTGTGTGTGTGTGTGTTTACACGTTTGTGTGTGTGTGTGTGTGTGTGTGTGCACGTTTGTGTGTGTGTGTGTGTTAGTGTGTGTAAAGATGTAGAGAGAGGGGGCGAGGAAGACAGAATGAGAGAGAGAGAAAGAGAGAGAGAGAGAGAGAGAGAGAGAGAGAGAGAGAGAGAGAGAAGAGAGAGAGAGAGAGAGAGAGAGAGAGAGAGAGAGAGAGAGAGAGAGAGAGAGAGAGAGAGAGAGAGAGAGAGAGAGAGAGAGAGAGAGAGAGAAGAGAAGAGAGAGAGAAAAGAGAGAGAGAGAGAGAGAGAGAGAGAGAGAGAGAGAGAGAAAGAGAGAGAGAGAGAAAGAGGAAGTACGAGGCCCCGGGTTGTTGAAAGAACGAAAGAGCAAGAGAGTATTTTTGTTTTCTTTTTTTTTAAGTGAAGGAAAGCCTTACAGAGTATGTTCATGGGCTTATACGATTCCCATTTGTCTCTCATCACACATATTAGTCATAAATATATCTATTTATTTCTTTTAGTCTGTCTGTCTATTTATTTGTCTCAATCTGTCTGTCTGTTTATCTATCCACCTGTATATACGACAATTTATGAGCTACTGGTATAACTTGCTATATTTTTGTCTTCATGTCTACCTATCTATCTATCTATCTTTCTGTTTTAATGTGAACTTACCAATCTATCTATCTACTTTCAATCTATCTTACGTATAAGTTTCTCTTCTTTCCTCCGTTTCTCCTTCTTCTAGTCTTTTATCCTTTTTTTTCCTTTCCCCTTTTCTTTTTTTTCCTTCTCTTCTTCCTCTTCCCCAATTTTCACCTTCTCTCGTGTGTATTTCTAATTTCCTTGCTTCATCATTAATGCATTAATTTCTATAATTATTTTCTTTTTTGCTGTCGTTGTTCTTTAATTATTTTGATTTTCATTATTATCTTCATTATTATCATATATCAATATTATCATCATTATTTGCATATCAACCATTTTAATCATTATTATTATTAAAAATATTAGTATTATTATCATTATTATTATAATTATGATTATAATTATAATTATAATTATAACTATGATTATGATTATGATTATGATTATCATTATCATTATCATTATTATTATAATCATTATTGTTATCATTTTTATTATCATTATTATTATTATCATTATTATTATTACTATTATTATCATTATTATAATTACTACTACTACTATTATTATTATTATTATTATTATTATTATTATTATTATTATTATTATTATTATTATTATTATTATCATTATTATTATTATTATCGTTATTATTATTGCAATATTGCCTGTATTATTTAACAACCAATTTATTTTTTTATGTCATATGCGTATCTTCTTTTTCTTTTCTTTCTTCTCTTTTTCCTTATCCGCTTCACTCCGTCTGGTCTTTCATCGGGTTTTCATTTTTCTCTCTTTCTCCTTTTCCTTCTCTTCCTCCTCTTGCTAAATTTTCACCTTCTTCTCTTATGTGTGTCCCCTTTTCTTCCGTTTTGCCTTATTATTTTTTTCTATCGCAAAGGTCCTGGGTTCGTGCCCGGCCGCCGCCCCTCTCAGTCGACTCAGCTGTGAATGAGTACTGATATGCTGACGTCAGCATGTTGGGGTCAAGGTCGGGGCGGAAAGGAACTGGCCACCCTACCGCATCATCCCGCGGCCTAGTAAGCAGGTTTCTCTGCAAACATGTCCCCTACGTTCACATGGACATGGGACCAACTTAAAATTTGCCTACTAAAATAATGACTGT